AGGCGTGCAGGCTCAGTAATTGTGGCTCGTGGGCTCTAGAGCACAGGCTCAGTAGTTGTGGCACACGGGCTTAGTTGCTCCGCGGCATGCAGGATCTTCCCGGACCAGGGCGCGAACCCATGTACCCTGCTTTGGCAGGTTGATTCTTAACCACTGGGCCACCAAGGAAGTCCCAATAGTGCCTTTTTTGAGAAACACTGGCACCCTATTTCCAGCTTTCAAGAAGGAACAGCATCCAAGAAGGAACCCTTCAGTAAACTAAAACATTAGTATAAATATATCCTCTCTTCCCTATGAAAAATTCTGTGAGTTCGTAAGAGCAAGAACTCTTAGTTATCAGTGGTGGAGTTCCAAGATGTTTTTTAGAGCAGTCCCTACCTTAATTTGTGGCATAGGAAGTTGGCCTGTTTTCCCTCCTGATAAATTTGCATCTCCCTGTTATTGGTATAGGTTGGAATTGAGATGGAACATTTCCCAGAATTTGAGAATGATGTGGAATTCACTGAGCAGTTAGTTGCTGAGCAATCCGTCCACTGCCTCCCAGCAACAGTGAGTGCTTACATCTCTCAGGACACTCTCAACGGTTTCTAGAGCCTCAGGAACTCTTCCTGAGCTGATCTTTAGCCTGACTTTTTCTCCCCCAACAAAGCGTACTGTCGGCCTTCATATACTCAGGTTCCTCATCCATGGATTCAACCAACTGTGGATGGAAAAATATGAGGGGAAAAAAAATCCCAGAAAGTTCCAAAACTTGAATTTGCTGCAGACTGGCAACTATTTACATAGCATTTACATTGTATTAGGTATTATGAGTAACCTAGAGATGATTTAAAGTACACAGGAAGATGTACACAGGTTATGCAAATACTATGCCATTTTATATATGGGACTTGAGCATCCTCGGATTTTGGTACTCTCGAAGGTTCTGGAACCAACCCCCCATGGATACCGAGGGACTACTGTATTCTCTTTTGAAAAGATTCAAACTGATGGGTCTCATGACCTCTATTTAAAATTTGTTTCTCCCCCATCCAGGAAGAAAAATTGTGGTTGAACATTCTAGGTGAGAGGAAATCAAGCTTGTCCCACAAATTCCTTTAAAGATAAATTAACTCAGTTACTGGCTTAGCACTCCAGTGGTGAGAATTGAGTGAAATGATAGCCTTGGGTAAATGGCATCACTGCTTTTTGGTGATTAGGGCCCTGGCCATATTAGGGTGGTCCAGTCCCTGATTCAATTGCTCTGAGAATAACAGGCTTTTGTTTTTGCAGTGCTTCGAGTACCCAAATTTCTTCCGAGTGGTAATCACAATCCCCGAAGTGATGATGCTGGAGGCCTGTAGCCGGATCCAGGAGTTCTGTGACCAGCACTACCATAGTGCTGAAGGGAGCCCGGAGGAATGTGACAAGTAGGACGCAGTCCATTCTCCTGAGTGTGTGTCCCATCGGGCTGGGGAGAGCGAGACTGAGCCCTGCTGCTCCTCAGGTGCCCCTGCTGGGAGAGGGGCCTCACAAATACCACGACAAGGGCTCAGAATTGCTCCAGCTTTCCCCCAGCTGTATCCACACACACACTCTGAACCCCAGATTTCATCGCACTCTGCTCTGCTGGAGTGACTCACTAATTCATTAATCCACCCCTATGACTTCCATCAATCCATCCTCCCACATGACTTCCTCCTTTTAGCTTGAGAGTACCAGGTGAACAAAGTTACCCAGGAAACAGTAGAGACAGGAAAATTAAGAATTCAGGATTAGAGAATCAAAAGATTGAGGGAAGTTGTGCCCCCAACCATTTCCTCTTACTCTAAGTAAGAACACATTCTCTTCAGTCAGGTCTGAAGCCCAACTCTGTTACTGGCTCACTTCAGGTACACATCACTGTATGCAATAATGCTATAATGAAAGAAGTTGGGGACACATGTATTTGGTTAATTCTAAACACATTAGGAAAGCTTGCCAATTTGAAGGATCACTTACAGAAACTTTTCGTTGATTTTTTTTTTTGTAGAGAATTATTTTGTGATATAAAGAAATTTAATTGATAGAGTTTCTAAATGTAGATATATGTGTATCAGGCTTTCTTAAAATGACGGCACATCTGTACTAAAAAAAGGAGGAATCAGAGGACCTTACAGGAACGCTGCTGTGTAAGAGCCAGAATTTTCTTCACTCGTCATTGTTATAGAATCATTACTTTTGCTGTAACGTTGATATTGATTTATTGATATGTATGTTATATTATCTTTTCATATGTTTTCTAAGAAACATTTATATTGAAAAGATCTTTTATTTTGCCAAGGGCATAAATTATTGTTTTCCTTTTTCTTTTTTTTTTTTAGTAAATTTTACTAAGTATTCTCTTCTGTGATGTCATTTTTCTCCTCTGTGGGGAATTTCTATCCCCAGGTGCTGCTTATTGCTCAGTCTGATTGATTTATTACCCACTAGGTTTCATTTATTTCTTTGTAGATGTACTGACATTTGGAGTCACTTAAGAAACACTATTCCTAAAATATTTTATTTGGGAGCTCATCTTCTTGCTTGTACTTACAAATAAGACAAACTAAGAAGCAACATTATAAACACCTGGCCTCTGACTTCACACTTTCAACTTTTGGGATCCCCACTCTCCAAATTCCTACACTTGTCTAGAGCTACTAACCACTCACTGGGTAACAAGTTGAACTGGTTCAGCTAACTAAGAGAATGAGGTGTGTCCGATGTGCTCATCTTTCAGTACGAGCTTTTTGTCTGCAAATCCTCTTAAGCACAGTTGCCTAATTTTTTCCTAACCATTTCCCTTGGAGGAGGGAGCCTGAAGTTATTTTGCAAGGTTAGGGGCAGGAATATACCATAATCAATCTGGAAATTCTTCTCTAAGGGATGTTTTCCTTACCTAGAATATGAACTTCAAGTCTCAACTCTGCCAACCACACCCAATTAATTTCCTTTACAAAATTAAACATCAAACATCCCCTTCCCATCTATGTCGGACTTCGGTGAACTAAAATTTACCCTTCAATTTTCTTCAGCAAAACCAAGAGGAATATACAATGACTGAGATGAAAAACATTTGTTTCCCGTATGCCACTCCTGCCGATTTTTCGAAAATTCCTGGCTCCTCTTTTCCTGTACCTCTGGCCCAAACTCCCAAGGATATCTGTCCAGAGATAAACAGGAAGACTTAGTGGTTTACACAAAACGTTTTATCTTCACACGTATGTATAACTCTATCCAGCATTACTGAATCTAGACAGACTTCTTAAATTTCCAAATTTCCTTGATATCTACCATTTTGGTAAGGGAGTCAAATGAAAATTCAAAGATTTAAAAAACAAAACGGGGACTTCCCTGCTGGCACAGTGGTTAAGAATCTACCTGCCAATTCAGAGGACGTGGGTTCCAGCCCTGGTCCAGGAAGATCCCTCATGCCCCAGAGCAACTAAGCCCATGCACCACTACTACTGAGCCTGTGATCTAGGGGCCATGCCCTAGAGCCCACGAGCCACAACTACTGAAGTCTGCCCACCTAGAGTCCGTGCTCCGCAACAAGAGGAGCCACCGCATGAGAAGCACGTGCACCACAGTGAAGAGTAGCCCCTGCTCACCACAACTGGAGAAAGGCCCTGTGCAGCAACAAAGACCCAATGCAGCCAAAAATATATAAATAAATAATTTTTAAAACTAAACAAAAATACATGCACATTGGACATATTTCAAACGATACAAAAAAAAAAAAAACACTCATGCCAGTCCTTCAGCACCTTTTCTTCTCCCCTGAGGTAATCACAGTAGCAGTTGCTGATCCATTCTTCGAGATTATTCTGTGTACACATAAATGTTTTTGCGTGTTAATTTTTCCTTTTTTTTTCCCTTTCTTCAAAGTAACTATTACTCAACTTTTTAATTCAGCTTCTGTGGAAGTCTAAGGAGGGATGACATTTCTGTCCATCATGTCCTGGGTGATTCTGAATAAAAATGGGACCCCCTGGTCGGGGCTGCTTCCAAACAAGATTAAAATTCCCAAGAGACAATTCCCAGCTGCTTCGCGGATGGCGGCAGCAGGATGGTGGCTTCCGAGTGTCCCAGGATAAAACAAAGGGTGCTTTAAAAGGTCGGAGACAAGGGCTCGCAGCTGTGAATTCACCTTTTTGTCTAACCTACGGGATAACTGGCGAGTTACCACTGACCCGGTACCACACACCGTCCCACTCTAGTCCCTAGCAGTCACCAACGACCCAACCCTGCTCTGGGTGACCGTGTTGGAAGAGAAAGGGGTCGGGGGATGGAGCGGTGGGGGAGTTGGGGCGGGGTAAAGCCGGGGAAAGAACCCATGGCTGCGCAGGCACAAATGCTAATGAGGTCAGCGCACTACTCAGGGCGCATGCGCAGTCACGGGACTACGAGGCGCCGCAGACCGTGAGGCGCCGGCGAGGTTGCGTATCTCCAGTGGGAGAGACTACCTTCTCTCCGGATGTTCGGTTTTGTTTCCTCCTTCAGCCTGTTTCTCGGACCCGCGCCTTTTTGAGAGATTCCCTTCCTCCTTTGCCCCCTTTTCGGGCCACATCAGGCGGGAGGCTTCCAGAAAGTCGACAAGTCATCTTTAGGTATTGTAAACACCTGTTAACCTTTTCCTCGCTGTGGGCGGGTGCCAGTAAGTCCCATAAGTTGTGAAACAGAAACAGAAGTTCCCAGGAGCTGTTGTCAGTTTTCAAAAGTATCCCTGGAAATTTTCTTAGAAGGATCGTATCCTTCACGGGCCCGAGGGCATGGCATATGTTTGGATTTCTGCCGAGCCAGAAAGGTGAATCCTCCGCACACCACATACTGTGCAGCAGGGCCTGTATTTTAAGTACCCTAAAGGTTGAAGTATTGAATCTGCTGGAGAAGTGAATTCCCGGTACGTCTTATTCATACTCTTATTTAAACAGTTTGTGTGTTTACAAACAGGTTTCATAACGGTGTCATAGAAACCGCACATCTGGATGCTCTCTATGGGTCAGATTGTTGCACAGCACCTTCCAAAGAAACAGTCACTTTCTGACACTCTAATTGAGGTGTATTACGTAGGAAGCAGGTGATGCTAATTCTGCGAAGAAAACAGTCTGCAAACTAGCAAGTGTGTCTTAATTTTTGTCAGTGTTTCAAGCATAGAAAAGAATTCTTGCTCTTGAGACATTTACTCATTTGAAAATTGAAATGCAAAGTACATTATGAAATTCAAAGAACGTTATCCCGGGCTTCCCTGGTGGCGCAGTGGTTGAGAGTCCGCCTGCCGATGCAGGGGACACGGGCTCGTGCCCCGGTCCAGGAAGATCCCACATGCCGCGGAGAGGCTGGGCCCGTGAGCCATGGCCGCTGAACTGGCGCGTCCCGAGCCTGTGCTCCGCAACGGGAGAGGCCACAACAGTGAAAGGCCCGCGTACCGCAAAAAAAAAAAGTACGTTATCCCGTGTTTAAAAAATAAAGCTGCAGGGAGTTCTTGCTTTGTCAGCACATATACTAAAATTGGAATAATACAGAGAAGACGAGCATAGTACTAGCAATCCAAATACAACAGCGCATTAAAAAGATTATGTATCATGACCAAGTGGGATTTTTTGTTTTATAAATTTATTTTTGGCTGCGTTGGGTCTTCATTGCTGCGTGCGGACTTCTCATTGGAGTGGTTTCTTTTGTTGTGGTTCACGGGCCCTAAGTGCGTAGGCTTCTGTAGTTGTGGCAGGCAGGCTCAGTAGCTGTGGCACACGGGCTTAGTTGCTCCGCGGCATGTGGGATCTTCGCACACTAGGGCTACGAACCTGTGTCCCCTGCATTGGCAGGCAGATTTTTAACCACTGCGCCACCAGGGAAGCCCCGACCAAGTGGGATTTATTTCTGGAATATGAGAATGGTTCAACAAATGAAAAAAAAGTCAGTGTAATACACCTCAATAACAGAATGAAGGACAAAAACGACCTGGTCATCTCAATGATGCTAACAAAACATTTGACAAGATTCTACACCTTTTTTTTTTTTTTTTTTTTGCGGTAAGCGGGCCTCTCACTGTTGTGGCCTCTCCCGTTGCGGAGCACAGGCTCCAGACGTGCAGGCTCAGCGGCCATGGCTCACGGGCCCAGCCGCTCCGCGGCATGTGGGATCTTCCCGGACCGGGGCACGAACCCGTGTCCCCTGCATCGGCAGGTGGACTCTCAACCATTGCGCCACTAGGGAAGCCCCGTCTACACCTTTTTATGATAAAAACACTCAAACTAGAAATAGAAGGAAACTACCACAACATAATAAAGACTATCTATGGGGACTTCCCCGGTGGCGCAGTGGTTGAGAATCTGCCTCCCAATGCAGGGGACACGGGTTCAAGCCCTGGTCCGGGAAGATCCCACAAGCCGCAGAGCAACTACGCCCGTGCACCACAACTATTGAAGCCTGCACGCCTAGACCCTGTGCTCCTCAACGGGAGAAGCCACCACAATGAGAAGCCCACACACTGCAACGAAGAGTAGCCCCCGCTCGCCACAACTAGAGAAAGCTTGTGAGCAGCAATGAAGACCCAACACAGCCCTAAATAAATAAATAAATAAATAAATTTATTTTTAAAAAAGAAAAAAGCCATCTATGAAAAACCCAAAGCTAATATATTCAATGGTGAAAGACTAAAAGCTTTTCCAAGGATGCCTATTCTTACCAGTTCTATTCAACATAGTATTGGAAGTCCTAGACAGAGCAAATAGGCAAGAAAAATAAATAAAAGTCCAAATTAGAAAGGGGGAAGTAAAATTATCTCTGTTCTTAGATGAAATGATCTTTTATTTTTATTTTATTTATTTTATTTATTTTATTTTGCGGTACGCGGGCCTCTCACTGTTGTGGCCTCTCCCGTTGCCGAGCACAGGCTCCGGACGCGCAGGCTCAGTGGCCATGGCTCACGGGCCCAGCCGCTCTGCGACACGTGGGATCTTCCCAGACCGGGGCACGAATCCGTGTGCCCTGCATCGGCAGGCGGACTCTCAACCACTGCGCCACCAGGGAAGCTCTGACATGATCTTTTATATAGAGCCCCCTAAAGATTATGGGCGCCCACACACGCAAACCGGTTATAACTAGTAACCAAATGTAGCAAAATTGCAGGACACAAAATTAGCATGCAAAAATCAGTTGTGTTTCTATACACTAACAATGAACAATCTGAAAAGGACATTAAGAAAACAATTTCATTTACCATAGCATCAAAGAGAATAAAATACTTGGGAGTAGATCTAAATGAGGAAGTGAAAGGTGAAAAGATGCACAGCATTGCTAATCACCAGAGAAAAGCAAAAAACAAAGAAACAAAAAATTGTGTTGGAGAGAATGTGGAAAA